ATGAAAAAGTGAAATTACAGTATTTTACGAAAGTGGTTTTAAGTACTGGGCAAAGCCTTGGGAACTTTAAAAGTCTATACTCAACAAGGTTTTCATTGCTTTTCCTTAGACCTGTTATTTTTTCACAATACGCGAATTTGGCTTTACGCACCTCCCTTACCCCTGCGTAAATTGTAAGTCGACTGTACTCAGTTCATACTGTACATATTCATCGGGTTCTGACATCTGAAATGTTTACAGTTCTTAAACGTCTTGAAACCGTCTTTTAACTTGCGCGCCTCATTACCAACTTAAGATATCAACCTTTTTATGAGCAAACGAAGCCGAATTAATCGACTAAGTTCAGCTAAGGCTTTAATTAAGCAAATGATTCAGCTGGAACAGGAGCCAGCAGGTGTGGGGATCTGTATGAAGTTTACTGGATATTTTCGGTTTGGGGTCGAAGGTGGCAGAGGTGTTGAAAACTGGAGCGGTCCTCCATGGAGCGACATTATTCATGACATAACTTTTGAAGACCGAAAGCGAAAAAAAAAAATATAACTCGTGACTTGTTTTTACAAACAGCGTCACATTTTAAATAAGTGTACCGAAGCCTGGCTTTTTACTTTGGTTTACCATCGGATCCTAAAACATCCATAAAGATGTGAGAAATCGCTGAATATCAGACGCGTCTCACGGTTTGTAAAAATGGTTTTTTTAACTCGACAATAGTGCGTGCTCGGGGCTGAGAGGTGTTGACTGAGAGACCTCAGGGAATTACAGAGCTTCGTAAAACCCGTTTTACTTACAAATCAACGTCCTATAAGATACATCTTGTCATGTTAAAATCAGTATTTTAATAGAGTGTAGTTAAGCAAACTGATATGGGTGTGAATGTCTGATTGGGATTGTGGACACAGATCCCGCACATTGCACAGTAGTACAAACGTGTACAAATATAAGTCACTCAGGATAAAAGTATTAGCCAATTTGAATTAGTATTTTGATTAAAAATAACAATAAGCGGAAGGAAACGGATCGGATATATCACAATTAGTTCTTGGGTATAGCAATAACCACCAGACAGACCGTTTGCACTCATTCTCTCATTCTCAAACAGAATGTCTTGGCAAGTCACAGAACTACTTATCAATCGTGAAATATTTTCGATACTTTTCGAAATATCAGCTAAATTTGTGATGCATTGATAGTCCAGGTAACGAAGAAGTCCACAGTTTTTTTTTCTCCAAAAGACCTGATCTTGATCATAAAGGTGTCCTGACAGATTGGTGCTACAGTACGCCGGCGCCGTGTGTATCCAGAGCCACCCACCAGCTACCTTGCAAAATCTACTGTACCTTTTCAATATCAAGAATGCCAAGAGACAACAAAAGATGCAGGATAAAAGACGGAAAGACAAGAAAATAACTGTTTTATAGGAAACAAATCTCTTACGTCATTGAAGGCTTCGTCTTTGTGTAAAATGGAGTCGCCTAAATACACTTTCACTTTACATTTTCATTAGAAAAAATTGTTTTTCCAGGGAGTAAAAAAAACGCGCTATGGTATCTCAGAATTGCGACTTTATATCTCAGATTTGCGACTTTATATCTCAGATTTGCGACTTAGTATCTCAGAATTGCGACTTAGTAACTCACATTTGCGACTTGATATCTCACATTTGCGACTTCGAAATTGCCCACATTTCATTGTCTATCCTTTTGTTATTGCAACGGATTCGGGTTTTGGGCTTGTGCTCTCACTGCTTTGGCTAGAACCTGGGTCTTGCCAGCTGAGCTAAAGAAAACTTTCTTTAGCCTCGGCGGTCAGCAAACCTGTTATGCGCAGGGGAGGGTGGTGCCATCACCACACTGCAACCAGATCGTACAACCTGTATATCGGCCGTTCCGTTACACTATATTCATAAATAGTACAGGATCATAGGATCTATAGGCCTGAAGACTTGTCTTGTACAATGCCCTGATAAAAATCAAATTAATTACACTATTTTTTATAGAATCCCATTTCCACCAGTGAGGCCTCCATAGTACCCGGATGGAATAGTGCACGGTGGGCTTTTAAAAAAAGTTTTTATTTAAACACCAGAAATACAAAAACGGAGACAGAATATGAAATACTCTGTGTATTTGTACTTGTAGAGAGGAAAAGAGCAGAATATTCAATTCAATTCAATTGATTTTTATATAGCACCTTTCACAACAAGGTTCCCCCAAGGCACTTAACAATGCAAGTGACCATACCTGTTATGAATACAGAACAGAAAAGACCAGAAGACAATGGAGGAGAGGAACCAAAAACTCCTGAGTAAGGAGAAAAAATAAACCTCTAGGGGTCCAAGGTTACCTGTCTGCCCAGCCCCTCTGGACATGCTATCATTATACAATTAAGAAAAGGTATAAATCCATCAATGGTGTCTTCTGTGTATGAACATGAACAGCAGCCTAAACATCTACAGCTTGCCAAAGGTACTGTGCTGTCTGCCATGCTGTATCATGAAAGGAACTGTTCCACACCACTTTTCATTTGAGGTCTTTTATCTTAAATACACTGATAATGTGCACTCAGGTTTTTTTTAGGTAGTGCTTTAAGGAATCTTTTTAATTTGGATCCGAAGTTTCACTTTGCACATTTCTTAAAAAATAATTAAATCCCTTCATAGTGTCTGATCTGATAGGCAAAGAAGTTAATCCACTGCCTCCTGTCTAGGTATGACAGCGCTGTTATTCAAATGCAGCATTTTGATGAACTATCAGAGATCCTATTGAACTAGATGGATACTAATTTACCTGTATAGAGTTAATTTAATCCCCAAACTACTTAAAATGAATTTATGTAATAAAATAAAGGAGAGGCATCTACAGTATGCATTGGCATAAGCAGTTAAAGTTAAGTCCTGTACTGTATATCATTTGAGACCTGATATCCTTTGAATGAGATACATTAAAATACAGTATTTTCCAATTCAGCAGGGTGTACAATACATACATATTGCTAAAAATTATTTTAGTTTTCAACACAATTTCTCTTCTCGGAATGTTCCCAACTGCTTTACAGAAATCCCCAATAAAATATTTAATTAAAAAGTCTAAAGAAAAGAATTTCACAAGTTTTGGCAAAGTG